GAATAATTTTATTTAGTGATGAAAATTCAGCGAAAAATGCTGGAATATTATGAATCTAGGATCATTTTCACTATTCAATGTACAACACTAAGTTACAACTACAACTTGTACTGTTATAGTACAAGAACGATTGAAAAATTTAATGTATTCGCTGTATTTGTATTTAGTAATTTACTAAATATACACTTAAAAGTCTGGATATAATTTTTGAAAACTACTATACACTTAAAAAATTCAGAGAAGCTAAACAGTTCGAAGTCTTTGGGCTATTTTAGCTTCTCATTCATTTTTTAATAAAGCGTACAGTAGTTTAGACCTGAGATCAAGCTATATTTCATTAAGTTTTACAAAACCTTTGAGAAAGTGTAATTGTGAAAATTCTTGTACCGTAAAGAATCCCTTTTCAATGCCACAGTGAAAAAGTACATAAGAAAAAATGGTGAAGTGAAACTGAATGCACAGAAATAAAAATAATTCAAAGATTATAGCTATGTGATAAATGAAAAGAGAGAGCGAAACGGGAGGTGTATTGAAGTTTAATATGTAAATCTAAGAAACACAATTGTAATTGGAAGTATTTAAAAACAGAAAATTGTTGGAACTAGAAATAACTTTTTAAGTTTCGTGTCAGCAGACATAATTTAGTGTTAACACTTTTCTTGAATAAGATGATATAGGTAATTTTCTCTTAATAGTCACTTGTTTAAGAGAAAAATTTTAAACTAATGCCAGACAAAAGAAAGGAAAACTTTTGTTGAAATATTTGAATTCTATTCATTTTGAGTTTGACTGTTCAGAGACCAAGACTTAAATTTCTATAATCATATGCTCCAGAAACATCCTTTAAGTTTAATTTCTATTTTTATCTCATAAAGCATTTTTGTATGTTTCTCAATAAAAGGTCATTCCTGTCACCATTTCTTGAAACCTTAAGTTTTGACACTACCAGTGCTTAGATTATAATTTTAAAAATGTTTTTCTTCTTGTAGATCACAAAAATTATGTGAATAAAACAGTTCGGTCAACAAAAGATGAAGATATCTCCAAAACGAATGTAGACCTGCATATTTCTCCTTGGTATTTGACACCAGTTTTAGCTGATAAATATTATCAGCATACTGAAAGTGGTAAGTATGGTACTGTTGTAGGCTTTGTTTCCAGAAATGTATATTGTTTTAAGTGTTTCTAGTTCTTCCTGTCTTAATGTTGCTTACCTGGAAGAAATTTAATATGATTTGGTGGGTGTGGTCTTAATGACAGTAACCTTCTCAATAGCTTAGGGAAAATTTGAGCCATACATAAGTGAAATAAGCTAGATTGAGGTTTTTAGTTAGTTATTGAGTAATCAATGCATGATATAGTCAATTAGTTCAGTAGTGTAAATATTGAGTTACTATTTCGATGAAGAAATACAGATATGAGAAGTACTGTATATGTATGAGTAATTTAGAAAATAATTGGAATTATAAAATACGGCTGATTGCTTGGTGAACGTAAGGTTAGATTCGTAAAACCATGGAACTAGAATAAATATAACAATTTGATTGTCATTAAGTGGCCTGTACTTTGCACTTTTCTTTTTAATGAAATAACCAAACAGAATATGTCCAATAATAGAAACTACTGCAAAAGTACTGTGTTTAATAATAATAATAGCAATGACTGAAGAAATGTACTATAAGACTTGCTAGTTAACTTGACATTTAGTTTCAAGAAATACTCCAGGTGTTTGAAAGGTTTTTGTATGTTTATCCACAAAAGGGATACATTACATTAAGAGCTTAAAGTGATTAACAGTATACTAGTTAGCACACTGAGGTTTCTCTTGAAGAAACCACGTATGCACTGTTAATGTAGCATTTTCTGCTCATTTATTCATGTAACCGATCTTTGAAAGAGCCCCAACTAACAGTGTGAACCACCTCATTCAGTAAACAGTTGCTCAAAATTGGTTTAACATGTAACAACATTAAAGACAACAAGGGATCAGTTGGTCCTTCGAGGCTGTCCCTGCATACCTATCCCTGAAAACAAAGTGAAAATTTAAATCCAATTTTCTGAAAATTATATATTTGCCTCTTAAAACTGTCATGTCTTCGCTGCCTAAAACACCCTTGAAACCATAGATATCTATCCCTTCTACTAAATTTTCCAAATTTCAAAGAGAGCAACTTGATATGCTTTTGTCCAGCTTCATAACTCATGTTTTAGGACTAGATGCCTCTAGTACCTGTCCTCTACCCATTCCAGCAAACGAGCATCAACATTTGATAAGGAAGACAGTTGAAAAACAATTATGTAAGCAAAACTAAGCATTTTTTAAAGAAACTTAAAAGATTATAATGATTTTGTTAATGAACATCATAGTAGATTACACTGTTGTTAAATTTACCCTGGGATCTTTTACAAAAGAGTTTTTGTGTTAACCTTATTATTTTTCTCAGACATTCAGTTTACAAAATCCTGAAGTTGTTTCTACTCTGTTTCAGAAAATGTGTACGTTGCAGAAGTTCTAGATCAGAAGATGACAGCCCAGTTAGTTAAGTATGTACTTTAGTAATGAGAATGGGTAGTTTGATTTAAATGTTCTTTTGAGCACACACATTCAGTAGATAAAATTACTAAACAACAGTTGTTAAATATATTTATTTTACCATAAACTCATTTTCAGACATGTGTACTGTTTTTGTAGTTCTGCATGTTTTTAAAAAAATAAAAGATTTTGCTATTTAAGATATGCATGTTATGACTATTAGTGAGAAAAAATCATAAAATATCATAAGCTCTTGTATTTTATGTATAACAGTGATCATATGAGTATTTTGTATTTCACTAATCTAGAACACTTTCAAGTCAGTATCCCTTGACTGGTTTGTCACATGTAAAAAGGGTTAGAGCTCGAGCAAATGGTAAGTTGTGTAGTTTATATTTTATATAACTGTATTACAACTGGTTTTGAACTATAATGTTTCTGGCCTTTACCATTAATGAAAATTAAAAAGCCTGAACATATGAAATACTGTAGTTGGCAGTATTAACAGAAGTATATTCGTGTATAGTAAGTGTATATATTTAAAGCAGAGTTGTCAATCCATCTGTATGAAACTTAGTAGAAGAACTTAGGTGGTACCTCCAGAGATTGAGTTTGAATAGTTTGAAGTTCAGCAACAATTTCAGTTTTACTGTCTTTGTGCTGCAAATGAGAGCTCAAATGAGTGAAAAAGTCAATAACAGAATGTGAAGCTAATGGCAAACAAAAGTAGCATAACCTTTGCATCAGACAGATGGCTCATTTCTATGGCTAAAAAAAGTGGAAGGGGATGGACCACACCCTCCTTTACAGCATTACTTTTTCAACCTGGCAGTGCTGAATATCTCTACTAATACTGTATAAAATTTCCTGCTGTAGCTGTTATTCACAAAGTGATAGTATGCTACTAGCACACACAAAATGTTAAACAAGTCCTTGTTTTTAGCTATTTGTTGCCTGATCAGATCAAACCTGCCCTTAGTGTAAAATTGTATCAAAAAATGTATGGCAAATAAATTTGTATTCATTCTTTCACACATTAAAAAAAAAAAATTATAATTGAAATTTATTGAATAAAAAGTGTTATTTAATTTTAAACATCACAAACTATTATTTCTTATATTTTGAGAGTGGGCTGACTTCAGCATGTTCCAAATGAAATTATTACTGTTTGTGAACTTCCTGAACTTTTTCTGAATAAAACAGCATTCACAGCCCTGAAGGTAGAAAGTCTTAGTAGTTTTGAACAAAATAGCACCAATTTGAGCTTTGTATTTTTACTAGTTATCAATTTTAGCCAATTCCTTAGCTTAAGTTGTCATGTTGTGATGTCATTGCCTGTATCTCAGCTTTGAGAAGTCCTAGACTTGTGATGAAAGCTGTTTCTTTGTTCTTTTCAAGTGTACAAGTCAGCATGGCTTTCAGTTCATTGGAGACTCATGTAGAGATCATAACAAAGTGATAAAAACTTAGTATGGTGATATGTTGCTAGAATGAAAGATATTTATAAACAATATCTACTACCATTACAGTCCTGATTTCTTTAAAGCTTGCTTTATTATCTTACATTTCTTTGAATTATGGTGTTGCAGTGTTATAGGTGCTTTATTATTTTATATTTCTTTGAATTATGGTGTTGCAGTGTTATAGGGAAATGCATTTCCTCAAATATTATGAGGTTGGTTGTTGTTAGACTGTGTTTACTTTAGGCTTTAGTGGCCTAGTATTATTAAATAAAAACTTGATTGGAAAGCTTTACAAAAATGTAGGAAGACAAAGATCAGTAACTGAGATCTACTACAATGGTAAACATTTTTAATTGTTTCTGAAAAAAAAGAACATGTGATAATGAAATCTTTTAAATTTTTCAAAGCTGGAACTACATGATAATAACACACAAAAATATTTTACTTTGCAGAAGCTACATACTATGTAGAAAAAGTTTCTCTAGTTTCAAAATATTTCATCCATTAGTTGTTGTTTTTTCAATGTAATAAAACAAACCATACAATGGGTATGTTTAAGAGAATTGATGGGCATTTTAGAGTTAAAGTATAGGAACATTTTTAACTCAAAAATCAGTATGAAGTTGTTTTATAATCTTCTATAATAATTTTGAATTTCATTCTCATATTTATGACAACTTAGAAAAATCTGATACACCTATTCTTATGATCATGTTGTGTATGCAGAGTTACAAATGTTTAATTGACAACAAATAATTGTAATAATGTGTTTGTATGTATGAAACTGGATATTTTGAAAATATATAACTTTCAATATGGGAATTATAGAATATATAATATTCTACATAGAGAAAAATGTGATACAAGTTTTTAAGTGAACAGTTTCAGTAGTTCAATTGAACTTTACAGTTTGATACTTACAAAAAAAAAGACAGAATAGAAAAAATTTATTCTCATAAGTCACACCGATACTGAGATGTGCTTATAATCTTTTCTCTAAGAAAATTGAGTTAAAAAATATTCTTTCTTGTGATAAGCAAAAGAAGTTCAGAGCATATGAAGTTTATATATATATATATATATATATAGTGGTTTAGTAAAAATGTATGTTTTGTCCTAGAAAAAATGCAGGTCTAGAGATCATCATATGTCGGGCCATAGATGTTAACATCAATCATTTGGATTCTTCTTCCACCAGTATACAAACAGAGAAGATAATGAAGACTGATGTGTCTCACTTGAATGCTCTCTCCGAGTTTTGTAAATTGTTTGTTGTCCCAAAATATCCACCACTCACTCGTAAACAGTATGAACAGAGCAGTCAGTTGTGGCCTGTCCAGTTTCATGAGGACAAGTAGTATGTTTTAAATCTTAAAATCAGAGTATCTATAGTTTCCAGAGAACATCAGTATTGTACAAACATTAAAGTACTTTATATTACTTGGCAAAAATTCATTTGTAAAGAAAATAATTTTGTAATAATTGTTATGGGTTGTTTTTACGTGATAAATGTGGGTTCATGAAGTGCAAAAGTTAATTATTCATAATGCATGTTTACTGCTTTAGAAAAATACATTAGTATATATTGTCATGAAGTGGAGAAAATGTCAAAATAGAAACTGTTTGTTGACATATAGAGGAAAGTATTAAAAAATCCAGCAATTTTAACATCTTTCTCCTAAACAAGTAATTGGTGCTGTTTTTCACTACCACAGATCAGTTGAAGTTTATACTGAAAGTAGAAAATTAATGTATTTGTACATACGATTTAGTTCAGTAGTAAACCATTTATATGTAGGAACATGTGTACATAACTTAGTTATGATGGGAATTATAGAATTTTGTTTTTTGTATATACAACTAATGACCACAAAATATGGGAAGCACAGGTGCTGAGTTCAAAACTGTAAGCAACATTATTAAACAATAAAACAACAAGTATTGTTCGTTGTAACTGGAAATGATTGGATTATCAGTATGGTAAGTTGTTCTTTTAAGTAATAATCTTAACATAATCAAGACAGCAGTTAAATCTGACATGATCACATACTACAATAGTCTAGTGATTATTTAATAATTTTATTATGGTATTGAGAAGTTGATTTTTTTAAAATTAGTTTGCATGTGTGAAATAAATTTTATTACAATCATTGAAGAACTTGAGGCATATTAATCGACAGTGATTAACTATACTGCATATAGGTGAGTTGAGACAAAGAAAACTTAAGGTTTTTTCCTTTTCTCTCTATCAACAGCATTGCCAGAGTGATGAACAATCAAGTCTTCACCACTAGTGAATTGAACTTTATTGAACAAAACATGTCCTTGGCACTAAAACTTGCTATGGTTAGTAAGGTGAGGATTGAAGACTTGTGCTCCACTACTATATATATATCCCTTCCCATAGCTGCATTATCTCAAAAAGGGTTGTACTACCTTTGTACAGTGCATTTTTCTATTTTTGTTAGTAATAATACTTGTATAGAACAAAATTACTTAATATGTTATTATTTTAGTCTTAAAAAGCTTATCATACAGGTGTTAAATAACTTCCAAGGCTCTTTCAGGATGACAAAATATCAGTGCTTGGTTAAAAAAAACTGTATTTATGATGTACACAATTCTATTGTGAATGTAACATATTTCATATACATGTATGTATAAGAAGACAAGTGTGATAGATTCAAAAGTAAGGTTTGAAAATTTTTATAAAAAAAATGTTTTATTAGTTTGAAACTACAAAAATGATAAAGAATGGCATATTGTTTACTGGTAGTTTTAATATATTTTTCAATTTCAGTCCTAGTACTTTTCTGCCAAATATTTTTTTAGTAAGTGTTCAAAATCTGCAGTACAATTGAGATCATTACTATATTTGACTTTTGTAGCTTTAAAACTCAAACATTGGCACTCCAGATACTAATTTAATTTTAACTCCAGTTCATAGTGACTTAAAAAACATTTTGCTTTCAAGTGAATAACCTCGAAGTTAATGATTTGTGGAAGTACAGAAACCCACGTTCATGAATGAACTTTTGTGTCAAATGTTCAAATACTTTTAACACAAGTTTCTTGTATTATATAACTTTAAGTACCTTCAAAATGTTAAAGGTTCAAATACTTTTGCTGAATGTAATAAAAAAGATTAGGCATAGTTCCCTTTGCTGTTGTCTGGATACTATAACAACTACAAGTGTACTTTGGGCATGTTATTGAATAGTTTCCTTTTGGTATTAGTGAATTATTTTTATTCAAATATGAATTATCCTAATGAATTACACTTGTTCTTGAAAGCTGTAACTATTTTATTTTATGACCGCGTGATAAAATGTGTGAAATACTGTGATTTGTTGTATAACTTTTCCTCGTCTGGTACTTTTAAGCACTCTATGGACATTTTCATGTATATTTTATACAAAAACTTTTAAATCTACTGCTACTAATATGACACTGAAAATATCAGATTGATGTAACACTGAAAAAAACTTTCTAGTTGAAGATGATGATAAATGAAAGATTAGAAAGTTAATTTTGTAATGGTATAACAGAAAGATGTTTAAACATTTTTAGTAAGACTAGTTAACGTAATAACTTTGAATAGTTGAGCACATTCTCGTTTGAAGGAATTGTGTTTGTGTATTATTTTATTTTCAGTGCCATGTAGGTGCTGTAGTTGTAGACCCAGCAACTAAGACTGTGGTGGCCAGAGCCCACGACTTTAGAAATAAACACACTCTGCAGCATGCTGTGATGGTGGCAATAGACTTGGTGGCACAAGGCCAAAATGGTGGAGCTTGGAATCGGTATGGTAAGTTGATTATCACAAGTTTGCTAACATTAAGATACTATAACACAGTGTTAAACTAACAGTCATTTAGATTGTCAATAAGGGAAATGCTAACATTATGACATCATAAAATAGAGTTGAGTAACAGCCAATTAATATTTTTAAAGCAATGAACTTGATTATGTCTTAGCATTAGTTGTTTCCTTAGTTTCAGGAATTAAAGAAGAATTAGTGGTTCGAATAGTGGGAATTGATTCTTTTTCTACTGTAAATTAGGCTTACAAATAGGACCAAACCTCCAAGAAGCAGAATCTTTGAATGATTCCTGTATAAAGAGAGAGAACCACACAACATCTCAGTCCCTGGATGAATGTTGCGGTAAAGATTGTAGACTTACCAAAACTAGCCCATATCTTTGTACAGGATATGATCTATATGTAACAAGGGAGCCCTGTACAATGTAAGTTTCTGAACTACCTAATCTCTGTATTTAAAGAGATACCTTATTTAATAAAAAACATTTGGATGTAATAGAATTGTTTAAATGCATGGAAATCAAAACCTTTGATAGAGGAGAGTGATCCAGGTTTTAGTCTTTTGTTGAGCAAGTTTATAGGAGAAAGAAATTTAATTCCATTAACCTTCTGTATGTCTTAAAACAATCAGATGGTACAGACTCATTATATCATATATTAATTATCTTCAAGTGTTCCTTTCTAAAGCACTAAGATCTTATTCTTTTGTCTGAGGAACTTATTTTCATGTGTACCATTAGATGTTTCTAAAAAACTGCAATAGTTAAATAAAAGTTGAATTTCAGAAGTAAATGTACCATGTGGCTACAAGACAGAAGAGGATAATTTCTGGTACTTTCAATAAAATGATCCTTTATATTTAATTTTCTCTCCATTAAATTATAGAATCACTTTAATCTAATGCATGTTGAAGATTAACTTTTTCTTCCATTAACATAGGTGTGCTATGGCGTTGGTCCATTCTAGGATCCGTAGAGTGTTTTATGGAGTTTCCACACCTTGGGGTGCATTAGGTAGCCGGTATAAGATCCATGTTTGGGAAGGATTAAATCACCACTTTGAAGTGTGGAAGGGGGTGTTGGAAAAACAGTGTCAGCTATGATGTTAGAAAGTGAGTAACCCTTTGAGGAATTAACAAAACTTGGATAAAAACAAGAAATACCCCAAGAAGGGGTACTAAACATAGCACTTAATCCTTTGCATCAGCTCAAAGGATATGGCTTGCTGAGAGGAGAAACTTGTAGTATCTAATCCTCTTCCATTATGCTGCTGCATGAAAGAAGAGTGTTGGTTTGAATAATATTTAAAGTTTTAGAACTACTTGGTTACAGTGCTTCTGTTCAGTGTGTGTGTATATATTAGAAATTCCTCAAAATATAAACTTTCTGTAAACATTTTTAATTTTTCACACATCATTCACTTGTACATCTTTTTAATACACTCCATTATGAAATTCTAAATAGAAAACATTATCAAATCATGCTTTTTTTAATTACATGTAAATAAAATAGATTTACTCTTTATAAAATCCCATGGAAATAAGTTGCTTATAAAAACGTTATCAATACATAGAGGTCCCTTTTTCAGAATGTTTCTGCATGGAATGGGTTATATCATGGTTGTCTGAGAAATGTGGTAACAATTATTGTTGAGTCTAAGATTGTGAAAAAGATGTGGAATATAAAAAAATGCTCTTTCATTACAATAGTCAAATAAGGTGACATCACACTTGCAGAGGTTCTTTAAAGTATTTATATCTTAATTTTATCCTTTCACAACCTTTAATTATACAATGAAATTAAAAGGTACATCATATATAAAATCTATTTCTATAAATCATATGCAAAAGTGTACATTATCCCTTTTCGTGTGCATTCTCTTTATCAATAAACCCAAACTTTGGTTTCATTATGTTTGACACTCCCAAAAGTTGATATTAAAGCACATTAAAAACTAAGTCATAATAAACTGTATGACAAATCAGTGTTTCATTATTATTAAGAGCAGTTTGTGTTATACTGTACAGGTATTTTAATTGATATGGATCCTTTATTTGTTTTATCAAATTTTCTAAACAAAAATCTTAAGATGATAAACGGCACTTTGCATTTTTTTATTCGTTTACTGATGGTGTTTCTTAAAGAAACTAGGGAATTTCCTCTTCTTATCCTTAGACTTGACCTGATGACCAGATTCGCCCTCATCAGAGGACACATTTTTTGGCCTTTCCAGTGTTGCAGCATGGTAGCTGTGTCGTTGATTAGTAGCTGGTTGGGCCGTGTTGGGAGGTAAAGACATGTGGCGGCCCAGTTTTGCTGACCCTGGTTCCAGGAGAGACTATTGACAAAAGATTATCCAGTTATTATTCTGCGATGACTTATGATACAATTTTAACTCTGTATATAGGTAGTTTGAATTCATGGAGCAAAGACAACATTGTGATTGAGATTAAAGAAGTTTTCTTGAATAATTTAATGGTTGTCATAGTTAGTAGCCTATCGAATCACCTAATTGTAATTAGTTTTTTTTTTTTGGAAGTGACAGCTTTTTATTATTATTTAAAACAATATTGTTTGAACTGTGATTTAAATGCAAAACCTGTCACTTGTAAGTAAACTCAAACCAAGTCTAATTAGTTTTACATCTCTTGTTTTTGTTAATAAGATTAATTTTGGGTCTTCTTGATAGAAAAAGCAGGGTACTATTCAGTCATTGAAGCTCTCTCCCCAGTGAACAGTAACTAATTAGTAATTTAAAAAAATTAGTAAAGACAATACCTTCTGATAGCGTAAATTGGTCGATTCTGAGGGAGAGTCTCTGCTTCTTTGGTTTTCTAAAGAAGAAAAAAACAGTTATCTGCATTATTCAAATACTTAAATCCTCATTAGAGCTAAGAAATTAGTGGAGTTTGCTAACTGTTGGGCTCATTAGTTAGTTAGTAAATACTTTTCATAATTGGAAACTAGTTTTCATTAGTTTGAAACAATGTGGAGACAGGCTCAGTCAATTTGACCACTCCTATTACAAGGTTCCTACAGATTTTGGTAGCAATTTCCAGGGCCTGGAAAGGTTTGAAAAAAATGAGAATTTATCAGAGTCGTGGAAAATTTTCTTCTGTCAGTATTATAAACCAGTGTTTTCCATAATGTGTTTATTTGATGATTACAACATATACTATCCAATGGCATTGATCTTCCAAGCAAGCCTTTCATGTTTTCCCGTAGTGATGAGCATGCACATGCCTGAATAGCAAGTTGAATTACTTCAGCAGTACAAGGTTCAATGTGACCATCGAAATCTGAGCCTCACGATTCATCCGTTTCTTCCATCATTATTTTTTATGTTCTTTGGTATTGATTTCAATGTGTACTTGCATGGAAAACATGCAAGGCTTCTGAAGGATGACCACAAGGAATGGCTCATCACGGGTGCAATATGGGCAAGTCTGCAGTGATAAGCTACATGAAGGGGAAAAAGCATGAGCTAATTTTCAAAAATTGCACTTGTAAACAGTAGCCATGCCAACCATATGAAGTTTGATATCGTCTGAATATAGGCCCATGCCAGATAGAACATCGACAGTCAGGCCTATTGTTGCGACAAATCAACACGACACCATATTCCAAAGTTAAATTTATTACTAAAGAGAATGGGCTGAATTGCATTGGTTAAATGCACAGTATAATTTAATAAAGTTGTGTTATTTTGCAATTTATTCATTACAGGGCAGACTGGATTCATCAAAAGAAAATGAGTGGAAAGCTGAGACCATTGTTAGCCTGCACAGTTACAAAAGCTGTTTAAAAAGATGTTTCCAGATAGTAAAATTGCATCCAAATTCTGTTGTGGAGAGAAAAAATGTGCATTTGTGGCTTGTTTTGGTTCTATATATTAAGTCAAATTTCTGTCAAAAGCTTGGAAAAGATACAGACTTTGTGCTCTTGTAAGATAAAAACTGAAAGGACCAAATTTGATGTGTACCTTCAGTACATTGACTCTAGGAAAAAATCTTGTGATGACTAATTTCTTGATTTTGCATTTCTCAGCCACACATAGGTTAATGATCTCTTAAAGCTAACAAAAGAGTTTAATCTTGGTTATTTTTTGCTAGTAGAGATGGATGGTCCAAATGTTAACTGCTTGTTCCATGAGAATTCAGATCTGTCTTTATTCAACATTGGGTCTTGTGGTCTCCACACAGTCCATTGGGACTTAGAAGCAATACTTAAATCACTGTACTGCCTTTTCAAATATTTTCAGCCAGACCAGAAGACTTTGATAAAATTACTGGGTCTTAGATGTATGTACTGAAACTTTGTTCTATCTGACGTGTGAATAATGCACCTGTTACAAAGAGGGAAATTGAAAGAAGAAGAAATTGTAAAGATGGTGGAAAAGTCAAAGAATTGTTAATCTATTTCCTATCATTGCGTTTCACATATAGTCTTAAATGTATATACTTTCCTACATAATATGTACAGAATAAAGGCTTACTGTGGATTATATGATTTATTTTATGTTATATTTGGTTTGGAAAATCAATTTTGGGAAAGTAATGAACCCTGTTATAACCATGAAATTATACATACCCTGAATGTGTACCCTACTGAAAACCTGGCAAGCTTTTATTTAGTAAATATTAAGTGACTGTCGTACACAAAAAATTAGATTTTTTACTAAAGATTTGTCTGTGAATTTATAAAACTGCTACTGAGTTAGTCCGAGTGTAAGGTGATTTTTATGCTAAGAATAAAAATACATTTTTTCACCTCCCTGTTTACAACTTAATTTGAATAACCTCTAGAACCCCACAAAAAGAATATCAATTTTTTTTCTATAAAACTTTATACTTTAATTATCTCTATCTCAACACTGTAACTGTAGTAAAATCAATCAATGTACAGTGACAGAAAAGTTGAAATAGACTTATAAATCAATCAATCATACAATTACAATAGCTTCAGGCCTCTTAACCATTTCAGAACTGTTTTTACTTAGACATGGTTCAAAGTAATAAATCAACCAGTGGGAGCTTATGGTAAAGACACTATAAATTTAGATCACAAGACAGCAGTCCTTGTGTGTTCTTCCAAGAGAGATTACAATATGCTTTTTCATTTTAATTAAAAAATAAAAAAGCAAGATATTTATCATTTATTTTGGCTTAGAGGCTTTTTCCTTGTGTGCAGGGTTTAGTAAACCTATTTTTTCTTCACTGTTGGTTGTCCAAAAATAAGTGTAGCTTTCAAATATGCATTTTATAACACAAAAAATATACCAGACATTGGAATATAATATGCCCTAAAACTAATATAGGCGAGTTAGAAGAATTCTGATACTGCTCAGAGCAACATCTTTGGTCTACACACATGAAGCTTTCCTTTCAAATTATCAGCTTTGACCATCAGTTTAAATATGTTCTTTCTATAAAAATACCCATTAGCAATTTCACAGAGAATCACAAACATTTCTTAAAGGTCAGAATTTGGGATGCACGGGTAGTAAAATTTGTCAACCAGGACTAGGTTCTCCCCTTGCCCCCCCCCAAAAAAAACAACAAACATAAACAAAATTGACATTTATTACATTTAACCAAGTAATCAACAGAAAATTCAAGTTTTACTTTTAACTTTCAATGCCTAACTCTAACTTCTCAAACCCCAATCCCTATTGTTCTCAAAAAACCCAACTTTCAGTGGGCAGTCAGTTTTTGTTACTCGGAACACGTTTTTTTTTTTATAACTAAACCAATTATTGACTGTAACTTTCAGTACCACGTTAGATGTCTAACTTTGACACTTGTCCGGAGCCAAGTATTACCAGGTAGCCCAATACCTGGCTGGTTACCTGTGTATCCCTAGTCAGAATATTATTGGATGTGTCATACAAGTTGAACAGATATAGTGATAGTAAATCAAGGAGGTTGATACTTTATATTCTGACTTTTCATTATCTATAGTATAAATTTGTAATTGGTTGAACACCATGAGACCCTTATAAGGAAAGAGGAATAATCTATAAATAAGAAGTCAGAGCACCACTCACATGATTCAGAGGGGTACAGATTAAAATGTATTTAAGATGTATCCTTTTGAAATTAAGAAATTGAAACTTAGATAATATAAAAATGTTAATTATAAAATATGTTTCTGATGTGAAGTTTATTAATAATAAAGTGGTTTAACAAAATTTTGAATGTAACTATGTACAAAATATCATGCCATGCACACTTTGACCCTCCCATGCCCCTAGGGTTAATAGATTTAATGATAATTTTGATTAATCACCCAGATCTATAGCATAATAGATATTTTATTTTTTCAAAGATAAATAATCTGAAATGTTATATGACTTAGAGTTTATGTAATGCAAGATATTTTCCAAACGATTATATCAACAACGTTTTTTTTTTGGTTCTCATTTGTTCTCTTCGAAGAGAACTTGCTGTGCTTATAATTGATAAATTTCCTGGCCAATTATTAGTGCCCATAGACACCTAAAGAGTTTTTCAGAAAAATTGTGGTAAACATAACAGTTTCCATTTATGGTTGTATACAAAGATAATGTAGCACACCTACAGCATCTTACCAAGACTGTCTGAATCACTTTCTGCATTGGGTTGATAATCGTCATCTGATTCTGTCTTGTCTTGTTCCAAATCCTGGGTGTTGGAGGAATGATGAAGCTGCAAGTTTGCTACAAACAACACAATGCCAACACAGTGAAGACACGAATCACAAACAAATGAAACATTAAATTGTATAATGTTTTGATCAAGGTACCTTTAAGCATACTATACAAAATTCACAAATAAACTATGCATGTGTTTCTAATGTATCTGAAGCCAAAAAAAAAACAAGACACAACAAAAAAGGACACATAAAAGCAGTAAGGCTTTCACAACTTTACCATTTCTACAAAAATAAAATTTTCTCAGGTTTTGGACACTGCACTTATCAAAATTTACAAGCTGTGAACAAAGGATAACAGTTTAATTAACCCAGTATGAACTTTAATTGTGTGTATCTTTTCAATGCAATTCAACATATTTTTAAAGTGCTGTGTTCTCAAACAACTATCTAGTTATGAATGAGTTTCTGAGAGTGTTTTAGAGCTGTGTCCACTGCAGCAAATTGAACTCCGTATTTTAGCAGAGTAAGTACATATACTTACTGCTGTCCCACCAGGGGACCCTAGTTATGAAAGATGCTACAGTAATGAAGAACTGAAAGTGTTTGAGGAACTGCTGATATGTACAATACACGACAAAGATATACAACACCTATTACAGTAAATGTCAAATGTGTTTTTAAAAACAACCCATTAATACTAGGGGTAACCCTAGTAGCTTCGCAGCAATTACTACTAGACTTAGAAATACCAACCTCCACATTCACTCACACACACACGTTTAAAGCAATAAATGCTTAAATAAAATAAGAAACATTGTGAAGTGTGTTTCTATAGAACTTACTGTTTGTCTGTGGTAATGAATCAAAACTGTAATCAGGTTGATCTACTCCGTTGTGCTTAGCCAATGGACTGGTGCCAACTAAAGTCACACAAAGAACACTTGCTTATGTAAACCATCTAGGCACAACAACATAATGTAAACAAAAGTGTACATATAAAACTTAGATTTTTTTGAACCCCAAATGAGACACACCTCAAATACATTAGTACGTCAAACAGAAAATGTTTAATATTTACCATACTCAAACCATTACATGAATATGTTCTAAAGTTAATTTACAGAACTGAGAGAACTGTTTAGTTTTAAAACATACATGATCATATTTATTTGTATTATCAGTATTTCAACGTGGCTTGATCTAAGAAGGTTAAAATGAAACATTATTAAAAATAAGAATTCCTACATACCTTTAACATAACTTTGTTCCTTGTGATTACTTTGAACAAAGCTACTTGAAGGATCTGTTTCAGAAAAAAGTTGTCCAGTGGCCACTCTTGATGAATTCACATGATGAGGTTTGTGCCTTGGCTCTTCAGAAACTTTGGTTTCTTCAGAAGATAACTTTTGACTAGAGGACTCGGGACCAGTGAATGAATTTTGGTCTGGATCAGTATCTCCTTGCACTGGTTGTGTTTCATAACTTGTTAGCTGAAGGCTAGGTGGAAGACTGGCATGGAAAGCTAGTTTGTTTATCCACTCCTCCATTTCTTTTGCAGTATGAGCTGTAAACAAATATTCAGAACCATCAGCTAACTGAAGTCTAAAGACATGCTTCTTTTTAGTATAGTCTGTTGCTGAAATAACATTTGCCTGAGCTATAGAAACAGGTCCTGCTGCTGCATTGCTTTCTTCAAAACCTTCTTTATCTTTAAAGAAACACAAAAGCTGTCCACAGAGAACAGTGTAATAATTTTTCCATGAACGGATGGCTGCTCTTTTTCCTCCACTCTGCAACTCATGCTTTCTTTCCAGGTATCCTTCCAATTCAGTAATATGAGACTCCTCAGTATTACGAGCAGCACGAAAGCTAGCACGCTTTCTGGTGTTAAAACTGGGTGTCCTTTTTAACCTCTTAAATCGATCATCCAGTCTGGCACTTTCTGATCGAGTCACAGGGGAGTGTCTATCCTTTGAAGCATCTTCTAGTTTCAGACTCTCCACACGTTTTATTGGACTTTTTCTCTTAGAACCTTCCACAGATTTCTGACTGGCTGACCGATACACACTAGAACGGCGAAGTGGAGAAAACTTGTTAACGGGGGCACAAGAACCATCCTCTTCAGATGACTTGTCTGGTTCATCTTTTAGAGTTCTCAATCCATCCTGCTTTCGTCGTTCCTGACAATATTTAAAAATAGTTTTAATGACCAAATATTTTTAAAGTCTGTATATATATATATATATATATGTAAAAGCTTAACCTGTAAAGTAGTTTCTTAGGCATTGTTTCTTTATACAATATAATCTATTCTACAAAGGAATTTATTGTTTGATCAATATTTGCTTTGTACACTAATTGAAATTTTAAATGTTTTAAATCACTATTTGGAAGACAATAACTTTTCATTTAACAGTCTGGTATATACCTCCAAGATTCTGTTTTGTTCTTTAAGTCTCATAGCATTGATTCTGTCCTGTTCTCTTCGAACTGCCTCCTCCTTTCGATTTTCATCTTCACTGGCCTTTTGTTTCTGGAATGCATCTTCCAACTGGCGTAAATAGAAGCACATATAACCATAAAAGAATAACATTACTGTCCAAGTAAAATACATTAAAAGTCAATTTTACACGTATAATAATTAGGACTAACTTCAAACTGAAAAATTTCTGAATAGTAAATACACAAAATACAGCCTATGAAAGAATCAAAATGAATATTTAGTTTGAAAAATACAGCACTCAGATTTTGGACAAGTTATGAAAACAAGCATAGCATCATAATGTAGACAATGTTTATAAAATAAAGTTACACCCTACTTTTGTAATTCTTTTAAGTGCAGTCAGTTTTTCTTCCTGAGCATCAATAGTTTTTTCAAAGTCTTCATGTTTACGTATCAGTTCATCAACAGCAGATATAGAGTCTCCAAACTGATCATCCAGCAAGATGGGTTCTCGATTCTGAAGCCAGTTTTCCAATTGTTCAGCATCTTGTTTAAATATCTGAAAAATACATATTTAACATCTTAAAATATTACAGATATGGTTATCAAAAATCTTCAAATATTTGAGTTTTGTCACACTGTACAAAAAAAAATCATGATCTCAAAAAATGTTATACACTAGAATTCCTGTACGCAAAACTACAAGTTATAGTACATTAGTATTTTCTTACAAAGATCCCAAGTTGCAAGTTATTCATTTAGTTATAAGATATTCAAGACATGCTGAAGTGTGAAGCTCATAAAATTGTACACCAAATTCTGGAATATTTCCATATGTACCTGAGTGTCTAGGTTCAGCTCATACAAATCCTGCCGTTTTTCCCAAGTGTCCAGCAACTGCTTGAAAGATTCATTTAAGTGCTGAATATGATCCCGAACATCATCAGCCATGAAGTGTCCACTTTTGATAATAGCATTCCCTTTCTCTCGGAAACGATTACAAGACTCTATCCTGGCATCAATCTCAGTTTTGTTCTCCTTGTGACGGGCTAAAAGAGCTTCAGCCCCAGCAACATCCTTTGCTAGCTCATCAGATGTTATCAATGCTTTCATCTCATTAATCCAAGACCTACATTTTTTTTTTTAATAGATGGCACAAAATTTTATAGTATAAATAACACATTATACTTTGTAATGATTGATAATGTTACACTCACAGAGACAAAAACGAAAAAATAGCAAACATTAATCTTAAAAGTTTTAAAACAAAAGCCCTTTTACAACAACAACAAAATTTTAACTCATTTGTATCTCACTGCTAGCTAAGTAAAATTTATTGTTTTGTTTTTATTTTACAAAAAGTAGTTTGTTGACAGTAATGCTATAACTTCTGGGGTGATTTCATGAAATATTTTAATGTTATAAGCTTTACTCATTTTTTTTTAAGAGCCTATATCTCAAATAGGAAGTAAATCCATAATTTCTTAATGTTTGGAGAACTCTATATTCAATTAAAAATCTAGATCATGTAACAGAATATTTCATACTATAGATAATTAGTAAATTCTGTAAGTTTAATAACATATTAATTTTTGAAATAACTTAGTTATATAGCATTTACTGAAAGTTGGTTCACTTGGTCATTCCTTAAAAACTTCGATTATAGTGAGTTTATCAAAAGGTGCTAACTTACATTAAAACTCTGTATTCATCATAATAAGCTTGAAGTTTCTCTGCCTGTTGGAGATGTTCCTTCCTTTGCTCAGAATTCTTCTTTAGCTGTTGCCAAGCCTCAAGAACATTTTCTTTATACACTGTTATGTGTTCTGCAGCATTGGGATAATTGTGGCAAAGTCTGCGAGCTTCACTCACAAGAGCTTGGACATGCTCTTTAACAGCTGCCAAGTCAGTCTATCAGCAGATTAGGAAAAGAAAGCATTAGGTAAATCAGATCTTATGATAACTTTTTCAAGTTTAATAGTCTTAGAGTAAATTAAAGTAAAGAATAATAATAGCTTTAGTGACAACTTGAACAAGGAATGTTTTACTTATAGGTAAAATTTTGATAAAAGTTTTATAGCAACATTTTTAAAGTACAGTTACTATGTTTAAAAAAATAATGTTTAGAAAAGCACAATTCCCAAGAGAAACATGTAAAGACTTGCACATTTTTTGTAAACTTTGATATTAAGTTTTTACCTTGAGTTCTTCAAAATGGATTTGCTTGAATGATATATTTCTTCCTAATCTACTCAGTCAAGATTCTTTACTTGAGTGCCGTGTCTCATAATCCTTAAACATTTACCTTTATATCATGTGTATATGAGTTTTTGTTTTAAAATTAATACTCTTTAGTTCAGAAGTGAATAATTAACAGATTTTTTAAACTTAATAAATAAAAGATAGAATAACATGATACTGTACTTCAAATCTTTCATGTTTCCTGATTAAGTTAAGATAGAATAACATGATACTGTACTTCAAATCTTTCATGCTTCCTGATTAAAGTTAAGATAGAATAACATGATACTGTACTTCAAATCTTTCATGCTTCCTGATTAAAGTTAAGATAGAATAACATGTTACTGTACTTCAAATCTTTCATGTTTCCTGATTAAGTTAAGGTAGAATAACATGTTACTGTACTTCAAATCTTTCATGTTTCCTGATTAAGTTAAGGTAGAATAACATGTTATTGTAATTCAAATCTTTCATTTTCCTGATTAAAGTTAAGGTAGAATAACATGTTATTGTACTTCAAATCTTTCATGCTTCCTGATTAAGTTAAGGTAGATAACATGTTACTGTACTT